TCTCTTATGTTCTTATGGGAGGGCTCAGTTGGAGCAGGAAGTCTCCAAAGGGACAATAAGGAGACAGGAAGGGCATAATTTGAAGTTGTGGGAAATCTTTAATCTAGGTATGCTAACTAGCAGTTCATCAACTGTCCCCTATTGGCTGTTCTTCTGATCTTTTTCAAGCTGGTGCACTATAGACCTTGTATGTTCCAACAAGAACAGGTTCATATAAGGGCATCTAAATTAAATGTGTTTAAATACCCTTTTGAACAGATTTTCAGCACATGGTGCTTACCTATTTGCTGAAGGTGGTAGGATACTGTTTTCTTTTCCAAGAACATTCACACTCCCTTCTTTTGTACCCCTATTGTGTCTTGGCATAAAGGTATTGTAGGTTTTTAATTATTACAAAACCTGCAGAATCTTACTCATCTGAGACAACACCGGGACAGAAGATAATAAGGCACCAATAGCTCTTTCACATAAACCTATTAAAATCTGTCTTCCTATATCTTAGATTACTTACTTATTATTATTTTTAATTGGGAATGGGGGATATAAATAATGATATCCTATGTAAGAGCAAAGCTCTGTGAAAGGAAGGTGGATCCACATAACATTAGGAGTGTGGTGGTGCCAGACACTGTAATCGCATATCGTGATTTCCAAACACATCTCAGCTTCACATTCTTCATGCTGCTCATATGGTGTTGCATTCTTTCTATTATATCTCACCTTTAATGTGGAAAAAGTGAATGTACTGAGATTCTTTAAAAGAACCATGGCAGGCTAGCCCTTGCCTGCACAAAAAAGTTCTATGCAACAAAATAGTTGAGCAGAAAAGCAGTGAGATAAAATTGCAGAGAAAAAGGTGAGGGAAGTGAGAAAGGTGAAGAAAAACATTAATAGAAAAATGGTTCCATTGAGATGAACAGTAAATATTGAAAAGCGCAAGGCGCGTTCACCTGCCTAGAATTGGAATCTGACTTGCAACAGCAGCTAAGATAAATTTATTCTGGCGTTCCACCCCATAAGCCTACCTGTCTCTCAGAAACAATTGAGGCTCAGCCTAAAACTGTATATTAAATAAGTGGCCTATTAGTGCATAACAGTGAAGGGCAGTGAGCCAACAGAAAGGGAGAAGAGTCGATTGGAAAAGATGTCTATTTCCTTGACTCCATTGGAAATAAAGAAAGCGCAGTCCCCCGGCTTCTCATTCTGTGTCTGGAGAAAGTTAAGCCTCCGGGTTTCTGAGAAGATGATGTTCAGTGTGAAAAATCCACACACTGTGTGTGTGTGCATGTGTGTGTGTGTGTGTGTGTGTGTGTGTGTGTAAGAGGGATCATTGGCCTACTAGGGCTCGCACAGCTGAAATGTTTGCAGTGCACTCAATAGCGATGGGTACACAGACACACAGGGGTAAATCCACCCATCTTTATCTGTTAAACATTTAGCAGGGGGTCCGTATGTGCAGTGCTTGAAATTATGCATTTGAATTGCCTTTGAACATATGAATTTCCATGTGGTGGGGGAAGAAACCTAAAAGAGCAGATAACACTACGTTGGCTCTGAGGCATACTCTTTCCAGTTTCTGGCTTTTAGCTTCATGCATTTTTATAGAAGTGTTGCCAGTGTGAACGGGGCATTTACATTTTTTAATCAGACCCAACAGTTTGAAAGTAATTGAAGATGTATAATCGGTTTGTTTGTTGTTAGGCTATTTATTAAAAAAAATTTTTTTTGGTCCAGTTTGAATTCCAATAACTCTTTTCTTCCAAGCAAACAGCCATCTCTCTATAGTGATAAAGGGACATCTATGGGAGGCCTCAAACAAAAGGAAGAAATGTTTTGTTTATTGTTCGCTTTGAGCTTTTCCGTGTGTTTTCCGAGAAAGGAGCCCACAGCAATTAAAAAAGCAAGAAGAAACTCCCTTTGGGAACAGACGGCCCGCCCTCTGTTGATAACACAGCCATTTACAAGGATCAGGACTGAGACACTGATTCTTCTGGTAGTCTTTGTAGTCTAGGGCAGCAGGGAAATCAATTAGATGTCCCTTCCACGAAGTCTTTTCATTAGCACTGACATTTCCATTACTTGAAAACAGAATCATAGGCAGCCTTGGAAGAGTGCAAATGTAAACTTGCAACCAGGTCTCACGGCAGCCAGTGCCAATGGTTAGCGAGGCCAGGTCCTTGCCAGGCCCAGTTTAGAGGGTTCATGACTATTGTGCCACCTTTGCAGTCCAACCTGGCCAGGACTTGAACAAAGTGAAAGTGTGTCCCTAAAGACTATGGGATGCTCTCTCAATTTCTGTGCCCTACTACAAACACACACCCCTAACATTCCCTGATCCAAAGACAGACAAAAATTTGGAGGAAAGCTGGCATACACATCTGTCCCAAACACCATTCCTCTCATACAACACTGTGTGCAATACGAGTGTTGCGCCAGACTCCTCATCTTTGCAGTTTTCATTTTAAAAAAGCATAGCTTTATAGCCTGCCTTTTTTTCAGTGTAAGCTGTGGTGGTGACCTTGAGATAATCCCCCCATCTAGCTTCAGAAAGTTTGCTGCTTCAGTTGCCTCATCTGTTTGACAGCCAGCATGATGTACCGACTAGAGTGTCAGATTAGGATCTGGGAGACCCAGGTTCAAATCCCCACTCTGCATGGAAGCTCGCTGGGTGACCTTGGATCCGTCATTCTCTCTCAGCCTAACCTAGGGTAGCAAGGCTCCAGGTGTGGTTTGGGAAATCTTCCAGAATCACAAGTGACCTCCAGGCAACAGAGATCAGTTTGACTGGGGGGGAAATGGCTCCTTTGGAGGGTGGACTCTATGGTATTGTACCCTGATGAGGTCCCTCCTCTCCCCATACACCATAGGTAGGGCTGCCACCTTCCAGCTGGGGTCTGGGGAATCTCCAGGAATTACAACTGATCTCCAAGCAACAGATATCAGTTCTCCTGAGGGAAATGGCTGCCTCAGAGGGTAGACTCTATGGCTTTATACTCTGATGAGGTCCCTCTTCCCCCCAAACCCAATCCCTCCCTAGGCTCCACTCCCAAAATCTCCAGTTATTTCCCAACCCAGAGTTGTTGTGAGGAAAAACTGTAGTGGAATGCTGAACCAAGGACAAAGTGCTGCATTTGGATATAATTGCAAATATATACCCCACACTGTAGAAGCTCCAGGTAATCCATGATTATACCCTGTAGCTTCTATGTGGATGTCAGGAGGGCGATATCAACCCCCTCCTGACTATGCAGGAGCCCACCCTGTCAGCTCTCGCCAGAAGGGAGACACTAGTCCGAGACCCTTTCCAGGGGGACCCGGGATACTTGTGCCGCAACCACAGAGGGGTGGAACACCTACAAAGGGAGGGGGTCGGGGCCGCGGTAATCACTGGGCCGGTCGTCAGGGATACGATCGATGGAAAACAGGATGGCAAGTCAACAACCGAGACCAGTTCCCCTTTGGGCTCTGGCTGGTGGCTCGGTTGCTTTAAGAAGTGTGTGGTGGGGGATCACAGGTGCAAAGGCGGAACAAATAAAAGATGAGAGTCAGGTGAAACCGAGGAGGAATGAGATGGAAGGAGTTACGGAAAAATGACAGAGAGGAGTGGTGAACTCCACTTGAACTCGTCTATCGTCTCCCCATCATTGTGAGTGCCGTTAACTCTATCACGATAATTCTGAGGTGATCCTAAACTCTTGAGCTTCTGCCGACGCATCCTGGATCCCATCCATAGCCCACTTAATCCCTCCCTGCAACCCGGGGGTGGCAGTGGAAAAAACAGATATACCTCCACTAGCCATTTATGGCCAGGGTCCAGCCTACCTGAGGGACCGCCTTTCTCCATATGTTCCCCCAAGGGCACTACGGTAGGGGGGGGGGCCTCATCTCCTGGAAATTCCAGGTCCGAGAGACGTTAAATTTGGGGTGACCAGGACCAGGGCATTTTCGGTGGCGGCTCCTACCTGGTGGAAGGAGCTCCCGGAAGAGATTCGAGCCCTGCGGGACCTCTCTCAGTTCCACAGGGCCTGCAAGACGGAGCTCTTCTGCCAGGCCTTTGAGTAGGAGCCGCCACCACCACTATTCCACCTTTGCCCCCTATGCTCTGGCAGATTAACATTATGATTGCCTGGCCCCCCAAGGGGGGAGCAAGGTGCCTGGGCACGGCTTAGATGATAAGATCTTAGGAAGTAGTTTGGAAGTTAAGACCTACCCATCTTGTCTAAATCTGTTTGTAAATTTGTTATGGTATTTTATTATAATTTATTGTTTTTAAACTATGTGTTTACTGTTTTAACCTCGGCACATGGTGCCCTTGTTAGCCGCCCTGAGCCTTCGGGGTAGGGCGGGATATAAATTCAAATATAAATAAAAAATAAATAAATAGCATTAGTAAATGGAGAGGGAAGTACCTTTATGCTCATAATGTAACAAAGTCCCCTTTGTGGATATGAAAATGCAAGCTGCAAATCTAAGGTTGCCAAGCCCCGATTGCCTACTCCCCACTCCAAGCCATGGTGCAAGAAAAATTAAGGAAGGTAAAAGCAGTTATGTATACTTAACTGGACATTTATACATGAAGTGACAAAGGGTAGTTCTAGGATTTAATGGAAACTCTGTAGTTTTACCATAGAGTTTCTGGTGTTTCCTAGAACTACCCTTTGTCATTTGTTGTATATACTTCTAGTAAGTACATGAGGCTGTATTATTTTTAAAAAAATTCCTATGACACTGTGCCTCCTCATGCAACCCTCCCACCAGTTGCCAGGCAACCTTAGACAAATCTTGTCAACGACACACTATCCACGAACATGGGCCTTCCATTGTAATTCTGCAAACAGCTAAAGCTGAAACAGCAACAGCTTGTTTGCAAAAAATGGCCCCAGTGTTAAACTACCCTTAGATGGCTTGCTGGGCACGGCTGATGGGGTAGCAAGGGAAGCTTGTGAGCCATAAGGCAAGAAGGGTGCTGTTAATCACTGTTATGTATGAAGTATCGGGAAGGGGCTGTGGCTCAGTGGTAGAGCATCTGCTATGAATGCAGATGATCTCAGGTTCAATCCCTGACATCTCCAGTTTAAAAAGGACGGGGAAGTAGATGATGAGAAACCCCTCTCTCTGCCTGGAACCCTGGAAAGCTGCTGCCAGTCTGAGTAGACAATACTGACTCTGATGGACCAAGAGTCTGATTCAGTATAAGGCAGCTTCATGTGTTCATGTGAACCAACTAGACAGGCTGGCATGTGCCTGGGGGGAACAGTGCCAATGGACTCTAGACCTTTACCCAGAAGGCTACAATGCAACTGGTTGCATGGGCGACGCCCACTCCTGCCACTGTCTGATCCAGTGGGACTCTTCTTAAGCTTTTACAAGGATACCTGAATCCATTCTATATTTGCTGTGCACAGGGGTCATTTCAGGGGGGATCGCGGGGGATCACAGTTCCCCCGGGTGAGGTACGGGGGCGGGGCACATGACAAAGCCCCGCCCCCTGCTTCCGGCCGCCCCGCTTCCGGCCCTCATTTAGCCAGGAGGAGGCAGGAGAAGAGGGAGGGTAAGTTGCTTCCTCCCTGCCTCTCCCCACCCCTGCCTGCCTGGGGCCAGGGAGGGCCTTCGCGGGGCTTCCTTGCACTCCCGCCGGCCTTGCAGGTCCACCGCCGGGCCCCACATGGGGCTCGGCAGTGGAGCTGCAAGGCCGGCGGCGGCCAGGACCGTTGAGGGCGGGGGGTGTGGCCTTATGACACACTTCCGGTGATGTCAGGGGGTGTGGCCTTATGACACACTTCCTGTGATGTCGGGTGTGTGGCATATGCTAATGAGTTATGCTAATTAGTTCCCCTAGCTCTTTTTCTACGAAACGACCCCTGGCTGTGCACAGAATTACTAATGAGCCTCTCACACAATGGCCAACCAATTACTCTGGAGGGACAGCAACAGGGCACAGAGGTGAGGCCTTCCCCTGATGTTGCCTCCTGGCACTAGGATTCACAGGAGCCTATGCCATTCTGATAACTAGTCCTGACATTGTGTTCCTTCAGGGAAAGGTTTGCTGGACCGATGCAATGCCTCTGTCCAAAGGTGCACACTTTGAGCAATAAAGCTTGTCCTCAAGGGTACTGTGATATAAAAATATGCATACACATTGTAATACAAGCAAATGATAATTATTGCACATACATATTTTCAATGTACGCACAGCAGAAAATCTTTAAATTACGTTTATAATCATATTGTCTCTTAATGCATTTTGTTCTTTTTTGTTTCAAAACACACATTATAAAACATCTTTGTTTTCTAAAAGCTATATTATAAAAAAGGTTTTTGATAAAGCTGTACTAGAGGATTCTCCAAAAGGGAATTGCTTGATACCATTTATTAATTTTCATTCCAACAGGAAATATAGAAAATATGTTTTAATTTACTTTTAAATAAATGTTTCAGTGAAAGAATTGCAGCTCCCCTTCTCAAGTCATAAATGGCTGATCTGGAAAATGTAGTGCTTCTTTCTACAGTTTCCTCCTGGACATTAGCAAAACAATAATGGCAGAAGCATTATACTAGGTATGTGCACACACACACACACACACACACACACACACACTTGTACTGATTTGTACACAGAAGTACAATACTTGGTACATGTCAAAATGAGTCATAAACACAGGGATTGACACAGATCAACATGAGCTAAAAGTAGAAATGTCAATGACATGTAAATTATTTTTCTCACAAGTTCTGTGTTAGCATTCCTCCTTCATAGTGGAGACAAAATGAGTTTCAGAAGAAGAGTTACCGGGTAAGCTTGTCAACACGCTGAGGGTTGCCTTTGTCTGTCTTCAGGCAGGTCTTTCTAAAGAGTGTTCAATGACCAGGCCAGTCTAAAATTGAGGAACATAAATTCAAGAAGATTTTTCATTGTTTGTATACATGAAGCTTCCTTATATGGACTCAGACCCATAGTCTGTTGCAGTCAGTTTTGTCTACCCTGACTGGCAGTGGCTCTGTGGGCTATTAGGTAGTAGTCTTGGCAGCGAAATTCCAGTTCCCTATTACCTGCTACAGCCAGGGGCAGATTGAGAGGCAAAAATGGCCCTGAAAAGGACTCCCTGACAGAGAGAGGAAGGAGGAAGAATAGGCATACGCCTACCTCACACAACCAGGTGCCTCCAGTTTATAGCAGCAGCAGAAGAAGATCCCACCCACTTCATGGTAGCGTTGCCAACATCCAGGTGGTGGCTGGAGATCTCCTGTTATTGCAACTGAACTCCAGGTGACAAAGATCAGTTCACCTGGAGAAAATGGCCACTTTGGAAGTTGGACTCTATGGCTTTATGCCCCAACCCCCCCCCCCAGGCTCCACTCCCCAAATCTCCAGTTATTTCCTAACCCGAAGCTGGCAACCCTACTTCATGGGGAATGGGGATCACAGGCTTGTGGTCCAACAGATTTTGGTGGCTCCTGTCAAGAAACTGGTCTCTTTAAGCAGTTTATTGTTCAGTTCTAAACAATGGCTCGGGCTGAGGCCTAGAAAAGATGGAAGTTCCTTTCTCTGAAACATAGCTCAAGCTGCTGGTCGCTTCAAAGACTCAGATAAGGTAGATAGGAGGTAAACCGGTCTGGTAGCTTCAAGGGAACAAGAATCTAGAGGATGCATTCCATCTTGTGAGGGTCTGAGCTCATGGGTGGGAGAAGGTGTTCATTCAGCTGAACCCAATGAAGCTGCAGGGATTTGGTTTAATTGGCAAACCCATCTGACTGGTTCGATCACCTGCTTAGCAACAGACCTGATGGTCAACTGATATACGTTTGATTGATTAACTAGAATCAGGCAATGCAGGTCACTGAGCATAAAGGAAAGATCCTTCATTCTAGTTCCACCCTATGTCTGGATGACATCTGACTCATTTCTTGTATTGTGCAGGTCTTATTGACCAGAAACCTTTTCTTGGGCTTTGAAACCTTACTAGGCTCAGGTTTTTTTGGTAATATTTGGATCTTGAACCAATGCTTGTAAATACTTTTAGTTAGACTTTCAGCTTTGTTATTTTTATCCTCATTGACCTTTTATTGACTATTTCTGCACATTTTTAAAATAAACCACTTTACTTAAATTCTGTGGAGTTCTTGAATTCAGGAGGCTTCAGTCTGAATCCAGTATTTTTTAGCCCTCAGTGGCTAGAGCTACCAGATTGTTCTCTGAAACTCACCTTGTAAGGGTGACTTTCTTGATTTTTAGTTCCAACGAAGGCCTGAGACTTTGCCCCTTGATCTCTGGCTTGTAGAAAGGGGCTCATGGTGGTCCTATAGTGGGTTGTGAAAATTCACACTTCAGCCTTTTTGGTTTTGTCTGGCTTGACCTGTCCCCTTCCGAGGGATCCTGGTTTGGGGTCACTTGACACTTCCTACCCAACTCCAGTGGGGCCACTCTACATGAAGTGACTCTTGAATCATTTTGGACCAGGAGGATGCCGACAGAGGGGTTGAAGCCATCAGCTCACCATGGTTTTTTCAGCATTAAGGTCATCAGTCTTAATGGCCAATCTGCCCCCCCTCCCAGCTGACTAGAAACAGAAGCTACAGAGCTACTGTGGAAATAAATGAGATGTCCAATTCCTTGTATTTTCCTGCAAATATCAACTGTTGTTTTGGAGAGGCATTTAAAATTGCAGAAGAGGTGGTGGGGAGGGGGGGGACTTCTTGGAACTGCAGATTAGGGTATACTGATATTAGCATATGAGACAATAACTTGGAGGAAAAAATGCCTGGACCCCTGTAACAGTGGTTTAATGTGTGGAAAAGGACATTTGAAGCTTTTCAGGGTGTGCCGGTAAATGACATCAACTAGAAGCCAATTAAGTCTCTGTTTTCCAGGCTGTTGGCCTATATATCAAGTGATCCAGTGAGCCAGTGACATGGTGCTTTGTGTTTCAGACTTCCAGATCCCATCCTTGCATTTTACATTACATTACACATTTGACGTATATACCGCTCCTTCCTGGAGGCTCGGAGCGGTTTACATAGACATTTAAATTTCCTAACTAGGGCCACAGTGCAAGGGGAGCGGTGAGTGCCTACCAGGCACCTAAGCAGCCGTGATCTTCTTCTTACGTTGTTCTTTCCGTGGCAGGTTCTTGCTGTATTCAGGCAACAGTGTCTCGGCTGAGGTCTTCTCTCTCACACACTGAGTCCTTCTGGGGTGGTCCTCACGGCGCGCGGTGGCGCGATGGCTGCAACCGCTGGTCTCTGTCCTGCAGGCTCCGACCGCGCCACGTCACCACGCTGCCACGTTGCCCGGATCAATCACCGCCTGGGTTGCTTGCTGCATTTCAGGCTGAGTAACTTATATTTCTGATAAAGATCCAAGGTACTTGTCATCCACCTGTTGTGTTCTGCCACTCTCCCTTGGCAGATAGTCTATTTCACTTCTGCTTAGCCGGTCAGCTTTGCTTTTAATTATGCCTTTGGTTACCAGCATCTAGGACACCTGCCCTTTCTTCCCCCTGGCCCTGTTCCCTTTTCTTCTCAAGAAGTTGCCACCTTTTCCAAGCCCCAATCGCAGTGCAATCCTAAGAAGAGCTCGTTTTCTATTATTTATTTATTTATTTACTTCATTTATACCCTGTCTTTCTGCCCAAAGGGGACCCGAAGTGGCTTACATTCTTCTCCTCTCCTCCAGTTTATCTTCACAACAACCCTGTGAGGTAGGTTAGGCTGAGAGTGTGCGTGACTGGCTCAGGGTCACACAACAAGCTTCCATGGCACGCGTGGGGATTCAGACCTGGGCCTTCTAGATCCTAGTCCTGTACTCCTAACCACCACACCCCACTGGCTTTCTAAGTACATTGAAGTTCATGGGCTTGACAGTGTAGGATTGTACTTTTATCCTTTCCCCCCTGATAGTTCCCATCCAAAATTCCCAGCCAAAAAAGTAACAAAGAAGAACTGGGAAGGGAAGTTAAAAAAATAATAATCACAGGCTTTAAAGATTCTAAGCATACAACTTCAGAAACATCAGCAGCTGAAATCTGGGGTTTCATTAGCACAGGACTGATAGAAGATAGAGACATTAAGGAAG